GATCGTGGAGTCTGCAGAAACCTCAGGTCTTCTTAGGTTTAAGTAAAGATTCAGAACATTTAGGCTCGCAAGATGGCACTTGCATACTCAGGATAAGGGACAGGGACCACGGTTTGCCTGCACAGTGGCATCAAGTGCTTCTCTTCAGTGGAACTCCTCACACAGCAGAACAGCCCAGGTGCCTGATGACAAACACTTTACACAGATGGGAAACTGCTCTGACTCAACAGCCTCTTGCCCCTCTGGAGCCAATATCTCATCAGCATAGTGTCCAAGGGCTCTACAAGGGACACACCCAGTTAGAAGAGTCACTGAACTCAGGTCCCTCCAATGCTACGGTTTGCTATTGGGTCTATTTTGTTCTCTCTGTCTAAACACAGTTGATCAATCAGGGATCCATTCTTACTAGCAACATAGCAACATAGTTCACCAACTACCTTATCAGGTTGCCAGGGGAACGGAGCTAGAAAGTTAACATAAGGTCAAATTCTCATGCAGAAGGGGAACGGATTTTGTTAACCCTTTACCCACATAGAGGTTTTCTGTCAACCTGATTATAATGGATTCTTCTATGTGTTAATAGATTATACTTCTAATCATTTATTTAGGGCTTTTTGCATTTATATTTGTATCAGAGATGAGCTGGGTATATGTGTGTATGTTTGGGCACATGTGAGAAAGCTATTTTTTTCCAGACTTAAATATCAATGACTTCTTAGGAATAATTATAAGCACTCCTCTTTAGATACTTAAAAGAGCTGAAGTATCGGAATTATTTACTCTCTGAAGGGATGATATGCTCTGTGGTACAACTAGAACTGCTGTGTGTGGGCTAGAAAGGCCCTAGACATGCTATTTCATAAGATCATTACCTATGATCACGTGAAGGACACAATACTAGGGAATATCATTGTAAAAAATGAAAATGTTAGTGTATTTCACCGCTCCTTGTTGCTCTGACAAGGCACTTTTTTAAGAAAGAGATGAGCTCGGCCAAAAACTGGCTGCTTTGTAAGCAGGAATGGAAAGAAATGAGAATGTCCAGAAATTTGGGGCCTCCTAGGATTGAAAAAGACAACTGCTTTGATGCCCCAAACATTAATATCAATAAAGGGATCTAAGCCTTGTAGCAAGGATCAGAGCACGGGTGTTCCCTTCCAAACAGCCCTATTATTTCAGTTAGCTTCAAGGTGGCCTCCATTAAGATGAAAGGGTAAGGTATGGACATAAAGAAGCAAAGAAATAAAGCAGGCTTAAGGACGAGGAGTAGAAAGGTTTTGGTTATGGTTGTTGGTAAAAGGAACTGACTGGAAACAATTAAATCAGAAGCCCATCGGGGTTCTAAAGAAATCTGGTAGCCACGGAAACCATGCGTCTGGCCTGAAAATATCTGTCTCTGTTAGTCCCTTAAAGCAACACTCAGACCCTTGATTTTGTACCAGTAGAAAAAAAGCTATGAATGATGTACAGCCTCGAAAGAAGACACATGCTCCAACAGCCCCTTCTGGTGTGGCTCTGGAAGATGAATGGACAAGTTGGAGAAACAGAGGTGACCCGACTGTCTGACCAAGGCACTTCTTCTACAGCTGGAGCAGAGAATCTCCATAATTCTTGCTCAGCTGGGAGTCACAATTGCAGTGAACAAGCGGCTGTGTGCTCCTCATTCTTCTCCTTAATAGGAGTTCTTAAAGCAGGTACCCTGTCCTTATACCACCACTGTATGTGGGATAGGGGGAGAAACAGCGTGCTGACAGCCACTATGAGAGCTTGAGAGAGAACACACATTTTCTCTCCCCTCTGCCTGGATGCCATCCCCACCACACACCCTCATCTTATTCAGTTTCTCTTTAAATGTCACCTCCCCGGCGGGGACCAAATCACTCTACCTAAAATCACACCCCATCTCTTATCACCTTATCCTTCCTTTACCCTCTCTTTGTATCTTTAATCTCTCTTCACAGCACTTACTCCCCCACAACCCCCCCACCCCACCCCCGCCCAATTACAGGGTGCTCTCAGGGCACAACCTTGTCTTCTTTCTGGCTGAAGTCCTAGTACCAAGAAATGGCCAATACATTGTACGCTCTCACTAAATATTTGTTGAAAAAAAAAAAAAGAAGACAAAACAATTAAGAGCTTCTAATGTCCAAGCGTCTGAAGTTGTTTCTGTGTAGTCCTATTTTGTTATTTATCTGTATCGCATTGTAATTAGTGACAATTATTTGTGAGTGAGAACACTGCTATTACCACTTGCAAGGTGGCATTATCGGGTGGGAAACCTAACCAAAAAGTTGTCCTATTGGAAAAGTACAGGTATTATGAAAAGCAAACTGTTTTGATCTGGTTGGTTGTTTTCAAGACTGAGACAGTAATTGGCACTTCCATGGGAACTTCACCTTGTTTCAGGAACGGTGGTCATAACTGCAGCATACTAACCTTGGAATTCCTTTAGAGTCTCCTCATTCCATGATTCAACAAAGACTGATATAATCAGCTACTGCTTACTCAGGAGAGAAGCTAAAGTTCACCAGGAAGAATTCAATTCAATCCAATCCAACATTTAATATTTACTGAATTGAAGCCTTTTGCCAGGCCTTGTGCCCTGTCTCATGGAACTCAGAGTGGTAGAGAAGCAATGCACTAAACACACTCCATTAGGAGTTACAATATGGGATGCATAGTGTTGTAATTATACCACATAAGTCTCAGCCGAGCAAAAAATCAGAAAAGGCTTCCTGGGTAAATGTCAGCTAAACTTGGACCCAAAGGGCAAGTGGAGAGCATCCAAATGAAGAAGGAAGATGAATGGAGTGTTTTCTAAGCCAAAGAAAAAGATACGGAAAAAAATGTTGAAAGGCCTGCCGATAGGGCATTACACTTTTGCTTCAGATACTGTCATATTTTCACCTATCACCTGCCCTCCGTTCCTTCTACCTCCAGCTTTTAGCGTATAGGTTAGCCCCTTCTTGATAATCATCTGTTGTTCTGGTGGGGCTTATTTGCAAATCCAATCCAGGAATCAATAAACAAAGGAAATGGCTAAGGAGTAGCCACTGGAGCCTGGAACCAAGCCTACATTACACTTAAAAAATTTGATTTTCTGCAGAAAAAATATTTTGACTCCCACATTTTTGGACTTCATTAGAAAGATCTGAAATAGATGACACCAAGCTGTTTGCCTAAAATAATGTCCCAAGCCTGAATTGGCATGGATATTTCCTGAGATTAAAATAGAAACTTGTTTTGCTAACAGAAAACAACTTGGAAATCAAAGAGTCGTTTAAGTTGAAACCATTATTTTTTCCTTTTCTTGCATAAAACTCCTGTTTTTATACACATGAAGAAATCAGGATAGTGAGATCACCCTGCCACAGAACTTCCCATTAAAAATTTGAAGTTGGAGAAACCTCAAAAAGAAAATAAAGATAGAAAAAAGTTCGTAATGTAACACACTCATTCAACAAATATTTATGAGCACCTACTACATGCCAGGCACTGTTCTAGGCACTAACAAAGAAACTCCCTTGAAGAGTTTGCATTCTAGCCAAAAGAAGACATACAAACAAGAAATAAATTATACAGGACGCTGGGAGACCAGTGGTATGGAGAAAAGACAAAGCTGACCAAATCATGGGGCATCCTGAGGGGGCCAGTTTGCAACTTTAAGTTTGGGTGGTCATGGTTGGATTCCTCAAAAAGGCCACATTTGAGCAAAGCCTGAAGGAAGCGAGAATGTGAACCACGCAGATACCTGGGTCCAGGCGTAAGTATCAGCCGGTCATTGGCGCAAAGGCAGGGGCGTGCATGCCTGGCTCCAGGAGTCTGTGAGAAAGGCAAGAATGTCATGGGCTAGGGGAAGAGAGAGAATAGGAGATTAGGTCTGAGGGGTCTGAGAGATGGCACATCTCTGCACCGGGGACTCATTGGGACAGGGTTTGACAGGAGAGGTGACTCAGTGGATATGTGTTTTCACGTGCATTTTAGGATGATTGCTGCGTGTTTTCATTCGAACAATCTTAGTACAATACTTTTTGCTCTGCAACAACAGAATGATTTTTAAAATGGTTTCTAAATGATCTCCCCAAGATCAGACACCACAGACTGTAAGTAGTTAGAGCCCGCCCTCTTTGGCCTGCACGTGCCCTGGAGGGGCAGCCCTTGCTACCCTTCTAGAGTGCTCGAAGTTGAGCTGGCAGAGATAGAAACAGTCTGCACGTTTCTTCCACAAAACTCGACTGGAAAGCCAAACATTTCTTTCGGTTGGTTACAAAATAAAAAATAAGCCTTTGCCAACTCTGCGGGAGAAGCAAACTCCCGGAGTTTGCCTTTGCTAATTTGTCCAAGTCGTGCAATCGTGCTGTGGTTTCACTAAATGCAGACACTGCTCCTCTCCAGCCCCAGAAACGTCTCGCGTCTACGGCTTCTCCGAAGGCCCCCCCCACCCCTCCCCCCGGTGGAAGCCACGGCTCGCCCCTGCGGTCACCACCTGTTCTGGCAGAGCCCGTGGAGCGCGCACCTACGCCCCGGGCCCCTTCCCTCCCGGGCTCACCCTTTCCTGCTGGGCACCCTGCGTTCCCTCGCCCAGGCCGGGCTTGAAACTTTCCTCGCAGCCTGGCGCTCGCCCCACTTGGCTGGCCCTCAAGAGACGCCCCTTCTCTCGGCGCTCCGGCTCCCGAGCTTTCCGCCTAGGGGCCAAGCGCCCTCACCCCCAGCCCGGGGCTGGGAGGGAGGGGAGGCAGGCGCACGCACGCCCCCCGCCCCTGGCGCCCCTCCCGGCGGGCGGCGCAGCTCCCCCTGCAGCACCTCCCCTCGAGGGGAGGGAGCCAGAGGGGGCTCCCGGCTGCGCGCCGCGCCGCTCTCTTCCGACAGCAGCTGCAGTCGCGGCGGCGCCCGCACTCCTCCCGGAGCCACGGAGACGAGCGCGCCTCTCCTCGGCGCCCAGCACCCCCAACCTGTTCCCGGCGCTCATCGGCGCTGCCGCCCGCCATTCGCCGCCCGACATGGATTTCCTCCTGGCGCTGGTGCTCGGCTCCTCGCTCTACCTGCAGGCGGCCGCCGAGTTCGACGTGAGGTGAGTTGGGCCACGGGGCTCCCTCTTCTCCTTCGAGCGCTAATTTCGCGCTTGCGGTGCTGGGGTCCCCTCTCCCCGCCGGGTTGCGCGGCCAGGGAGGCGTCTCCCAGGCCAGAAGTTGGGCCACCGCACGGCGTCAGCGGGAGAGAGCCGTCGAACCGCTCTCACAACCAGTGGCCGCCTGAGGCTGGGAAAGGCGTCCCCTGCGAGTCCCGGAGCCCAGCTGCGGCTCCCGGCTCGGGAATTAGGGCCAGGGGAGGAGGAGGAAGGCTTCTGGAGCCCGGCACCTCGGCTGGGAGGGCGCGGGCTGGCCTCCTAAGCCTAGGTGATGCGCAGGACACCCTTGGCCAGGAAGCTCTCGGGTGTGATTTAGACGGCTCTTTGAGCGGGGAAACTTCCAGGTGTCCGGGCCACAGCCCGGGTCGACGCTGTCAGGGCCGCTCACACAAAGGGTGGGGGCGAAGGAGCGATTGGGCTTCGCGCTTGGTTTTCTTGAGGGAGGTGGACTCAAAATAAGGACTGAGAAGGGGGAGCGCTACGTGCGTGTTTGTGTATGATACGCACACACAGCTCCCGAGACCTCGGGCGAGCCTGGCTGCAGCGTGCTCTGGCAGGTTCCAACAACCCCGGGCTCCGTCGCCGCTGTCACTCAGCCGCTCCTCTGGCGGCGGCGCGCGGCGCTCTGTGGATCCGCTCGGGCGAGTGAGTGTGTTTGTGTGTGTCTGTGGGTCAGGAGGGCGTGCTCGGTTGCCCCACCTCCGTGCAATTAGAGACCAGACCCGCCCCGAGCGCCGATCCCTGCTGCTCGCGCGAAAACCTGGCTGGAGCAGCGGGGAGAGATTTTAACCCGGGTCACACCGCCATCCATCCAGTCTTCCTCTTTCAGAGATCCTCCCCCCCCACCCCCGCCCTGACCCCGACAGTATCCCTCTGCGCAGCCCTAAAGACAGCCGCACCTGTGTTTCTTGTAATCTTGGAACGAATCAATTCCACGATTGATTGGCTTGCTTGCACCTGGAGGGGAACAGGAACGGAGGGCAACCAGTGGAGAGCTGAGGAGGAAAAGCGCAATCACTTGTTTACCACCTGGTCGGAGGAAATAGAGAGTTCGGGGTTATTTTGTACTTTGGGCTTGCGGGCATAAGGGGAGATAAAAGAAACGGGAATTGGAAAGATTAGGAGTGTTTTAAGAAAATGTGGGTAGCGGCCAGAGGCTATTTTATTTTATTAAAGCAATTCTTTGCTCACATTCAGATATGTTGTGCATTTCTGGCACACACATTTGCGATAGGAAATACAGAAATCACATGATTATGCATAAGATTTTAAGGTAGCTTTAATTTTAAAACAGCCAATTAAAATATTGATCCTCTGGGGGTAAAAAGTCAGGTGTGACTCTAAACAAAGAAACGATTTACCAAATAAGGTGTGAAAGTGGAATCTGGTGGATAAATTGTTATACTGAAATTGAATACTTTTAGTCCTTATTAACATGAGTGAGGAAGATAACATGAATTGTTGATGCAGAGAAGTTTCAAACCATGAGGACACTTGAGATGTTAGATACACTTTAAACTTCTCTTGGTTTTATTTATACTCTTTTATTTTCTCTGGGAACATTTTCTGCCAAAGAGTCGTATCTTGGAAAGAGGTCTGTTTCATTTGATTTTTGAGGAAGGTCCCGTCTTTGTGCCCCTTTCCAAGGCAGAAATAAAAGGCAGATTTTTTTCTTTCTGCTTTGACATGTCATATTATTTAATACTTTTCAGTTTATGATAAATCAGTCAAAACTGGTTTTCCCCCAAGTAACAGGTGTGGGTCTTTGAGGAATCTGTTTTATTTCAAGCTCCAGAAACCACCCTGTGAGTGTCAGGCTTGAGAATTCTTGGTTTTAGCTGATGCTGTTTCCATTTAAGAAAGGATCTTCTCCTCCCTTTGCCTCTACTCCTGTGTGTAGTGTGTAGAGTGGTGTGTGTGTTGTAACTCTGTGAAATTTGGAATTAGATCACAGCAGAACTGTTTTCCTGAATGTGTTTTATCCTTAAATTTCTGCAGGCATGAAGGAGTTCATCGAAAATTGTTGGGCGTGATTTAAATTAAAAAAAAATAAGAATAACAGGAAAATATTTTAATTTCAATAGTGTCTTTATTTATTTTGAATCTTTTTGTTTGGTAGGTGGCCCAGGCAAATAGTGTCGTCAATTGGCCTGTGTCGTTATGGTGGGAGAATTGACTGCTGCTGGGGCTGGGCCCGCCGGTCCTGGGGACAGTGTCAGCGTGAGTATCATCCCCGGGGGCTTCAGCTCCCTGGGAGGTGCGGCTTTCCACCATCATACATGGCTTCGCTCTGCACATCAGTGGGCTCATTACTGAGCAAGTCTTGGTGGTGTGGTTCCCACTGGGGAGTTTTCAGTTCCTGACTCCTTACCCTGCCCCTTTTCAACCTGAGCCAGCAGTCAGTAAGGTGCCAGCTTTGTTATTCAGAGAGCCACCTACCATGCTTATTGTGGCATCTGTCCCCAAAATCTCCAGCTCCTGTTTTCTCATCAGGCTTTTTCTTTTCTGTGCTCCAGACTCGGAGATGGGGGTAAGATAATGAGTCTAGACTGTATTTACACTAAACAGACTCCGAACCTTCTAGCACTAATAAAATCCTTACCATACCTGTTGTGGAAAGTGGCCTATTTGTAAACCTTTTTTTTTTTTTTTGAAGTGAGATTGTATTGACTGTGTTCTAAATGGACCACCCACCATAATCAAATAACATCTCTGAAAAAAGTTCTAGAAGTGGGCGCCTGGGTGGCTCAGTTGGTTAAGCGACTGCCTTCGGCTCAGGTCATGATCCTGGAGTCCCAGGATCAAGTCCCACATTGGGCTCCCTACTCAGCAGGGAGTCTGCTTCTCCCTCTGACCCTCTTCCCTCTCGTGCTCTCTCTCTCTCATTCTCTCTCTCTCAAATAAATACATAAAATCTTAAAAAAAAGTTCTAGAAGTAAAAAACATCATGTAATAAGTGCCAAATCAGAACACTGATTTTTACCTTTTCCATGGATTTTTTAATGGTAGAAATCAGAGCCACATCATGGAAGTTTGAGAAATTTGTTCCCCGCAACTTTATCTGGATCTCAAAACTGTATTCCACCTCCCTGACGAGAGAATCCACAACGATCGAGTGAATTCCTGGGGCATTGTGCTAGGTTGGTGTGTCTCGTGAGATGTTGGGAACGAAGTTGGGTTCCTTACATCCCGGTGTTTTATTGCTCATGAGAAAGGAGCTTAGAGGAATAGAGAAGTGAAGTGAAGAAGGCTGGAGCTGGACAGGGTGGAGCCTGCCTTAGAGACGTGTTGGTGGTGGGAGCAACTGGGTAGATTTAAGTTCCGGAAAGCTAGGAATTCCCACAGCTGTTTTCATCTTTAAGAATTGTGCATGATATCTACCTTTATGCAGAGGAATGAGAGTAATGGTCACGGGTTAACATCCCTGGTTGGATATGGAAAGGGAAAAGAGATTAAGGTTTGTCTATTACCTGTAAGCCACTGGGCCAGACTTTTTGCACGGTTGGGCCATTGCCTCTTTTTATAAGGGGAAATGATGCTAACTCCAGTTTCCAGTAAACAAAAGAACTAGGCAAAGCTGCTGTGCCCTACTGGTTAATTGTTTTTAAGGGAAGATGGTCCAAAAGGAGAATGGTACCCGGTAGAGTCGACTTCTGCCAGTTATACGGCGGTGTCAGCAGTATTTGCATAGCTAGAGGCCACAGGGCTGGAGTTTGAAGAGCAATCCGGCTTTGATAATTAAAGGGTGGCCCAACACACACACTGTTCCCAAATTAAAAAAAAAAAATGAGTAGTTTCTTTGCAGGAATGGAGGTAATTTCCTCCTTTGCTGTCTTAATTGGCAGGGCACTCCCAAAATGAAGGTTGAAGTGCTTTGGGGTGTGCACAGTACCCCAGCCCTACCTAGGACAAGGCTGCTCTGGCAGAAGGCCCTGAGCACAGTGGGGCACACCTTCTCTGGTGGCAGAATGCCAGAGCAGTCAGCAGAGGCAGGGGTGTCGGGGTGCCCGGGTACATATGTGCTCTGCCAATGCACTATAAGAAAATTCCTCTGTCTCTGAGAGGTTCATCAACTGTGGAATTCCCCAGAAAGAACCTCTCAGAGCTGTTCTGTCTTTTTACACGTAATTAAATTTTCTCGGGTATACACCAGCTGGGTGAGTCTGAATTTGAACAAGCGTAAAGAAAGACCTTTCCAAGTTACAGTGGCCTTACTGAATTTAAACATCCAAGTAAGTTCCTAGCAGACTAGCTTTCCCAGCAGAGATGAGACACCGTTTTATTATCTTCTATACATCATTTTGCTTCTAACAGAACAGAAAGTGGTGAAGCACAGTATTTGATAGTATTTATCTTTTCTTTCTTTGTACTCCTTGAGATTCTGAGGAAGCTATAACAATGGTAAGTCAGTTATTGAAATGGTAATGCTATAAAAACGTATAAGATGATCTTGCACAAATCACAGTTCATCTCAGCTTGGATTTGGTGAAAGTTTGAGAGGCAACCTAATGGAGGGGAACATGGACTCGAGCTAGACTGCCTGGGTTTAAATTTCTGTTCCACCCCTTATTAGCTGTGTGACCTTGAGCAAATCATTCAACTTCTCTGTGTTTTATTTTCCTTATCTCTGAAATAGATACAAAATAGTGTAATACCTTGTAGGACCGTAAATGAGGTGTAAATGAGTTATTCGTAAAGCACTTAATGCAGTTCCTGGCACAGAGTAAATGCTATGTATGTGTTTGATGAAAGTAAAGAAATATAAAGGAATACTGCTTTTGAAAGAGTGTTATGGGATGGGACATACCCATGCTATCAGATTCTTTGTTTTCTAGGCATGCTAAATGTATTTTTGCATTTTACTGCCAAAATAAAAACGATGATTCTAAGGCTCTCCATGTTACAATAAAATAAAATGCCTTTAAATTAAAAAAAAAAAAGCCAGGTGGATCTTTACCATTAATATTGTAGATGGTAGAGTTGTAAAAACGAGTTCAAAGATGGATGTCTCCTTGTGTGTGTGTGTTTTCAGAATCTCAGATGGTACAAATGTCTGTCAGCTTAGAGCTCCCCTGTCTTTGTTTTGCTATAAACAGGTAGAGGAATGTAGGGGCCAGAGGTCAGCTCAAAGTAGGAAGAACACCACCAAATAGGCTTGCTGGGGACAAATGGAAAGTTTCTGATTAGTTTTTAAAGGAAGCTTTTATGAAATTGAAACTTTTGTCACTACATTTATTCAAGGGAAAATGCCTTGCTGTTTAACTCTTATACCTGGTAATGGACTACCTATAAAAATTCCAAAGAGCTTCTGGGAAATTTAATGTGAAAATTGTTTTTGTCTTTCTGACCCTTAGATCATTTCAGAGTCCTTACCGGTGAGGAGCATTCTCCTTTCCTTAGTAAAGTTCTGGTTCTTGTTTTTCTGAATGATTCACTTAGGAATTTTCCTTCAAATTAGCACAGCAAAGCCAAAGGAGGCTATTTCCACCTAGACACAGAACCTCCCAATTTATCCCTTAGAAGATGTGTAAATGGGGGAGACCATACCCTCACTATATGTATATATATTTTTATCATATCTCATGCCCTAGTGCAGTGACCCTTTGGTGTTTAATCCATTTGGTCGAGCATATGTAAGACATTTTGACCCTATTCCTGTGAGACGAAGAGATGTGTTGACATAGAACATGCTGCGTTTCATGTTCACTTGCTACTCCCCTTTCCATGGCCTTGTTTGGAGAAGCCAGTTGACTTTGCAGGGAGCTCGTATTGCTCAGCCTCCGCTCCTGGTCACAGTGTCTAGCCACAAAGCTGCATTCAGCCAGACTTCTCATCCTTCCCTCAGGGACTGAGGAAGGAAGGATGCTACCCAGACAAGCATAGGAGCTGTCTTCTGCTTCCTGCCTGTGCCACCTGACATTCTAGCCTAACATTCCTGCCTGGCTGCAGAAAGCAAGCCCTAGTCCAGAAGCAGGCAGGTTGTGTTTTCATAGTTCTTTTAGAGGTCATACCCTGCCTTCTTTCTGTCCTTTGATTCTTTGTTTTATATTCTTTTTTTAAAGCTTTTACTTAGATTCTGATTAGTTAACACACAGTGTAATATTAGTTTCGGATGTGCAATATAGTGATTCAACACTTACATACAACACCCAGTGCTCATCACAAGTGTCCTCCTTAATCCCCATCACCTATTTTACCCATCCCCCCACCCACCTCCATTCTTGACCCATAAACCGGTCTCTACACATTGAGAATTTAAAACTTGATTTTCTAATTGTCTTGGGCTTTATGGACTATTGATGTGGCTCTTTGTGGTAAGATGAGAATCACAACACACTGATAGTTACATATTTACAGCACAGAGCACCTTAATTACTCGGAGTGTTACAAAATACTTGTTTCTTATCCTGTAATTATTCTATTCCTTCACTTTCCCACATATTAATGGTACGCTTCACTTTAATGATTTTAACAATTTCTCCTACCACGTGGAGATCTGTGTAAAAAAGGTTTCTCAGGGTTTGTGTATTTTATTAAAAAAAAACCCGCATATGCTGTGGAACCAACTCTTAACTAACAAGCAGTTTGGGACACATGAGTGTCACTAACTTTTATACCTGGTTAGCTATTTAAAGAGCTTCCTTAATGTAGAAAGAGTATAGAGGATCTAAATATTATATTTCTATATGGTTGTTTTTCTGTTTACAGATTTGGCTGTGTATGTGGCTATGACAGTAGTGTTTCTGTTGAAGGCACTTTTTAGAGGTGTGAAGATTAAAATTCAAAATATGACAAGTTCCAGGTTTCAACAAAGCTATTTAGTTTCTGAGTTCTTTGGCTGTCACTAAGCAATTTGTGGTTTCTGAAGGAAATTATGTGAATTAGGGTGATTTTTGTATCATTTTTCCTTAAAACCAGGCAAAGTGCAGATGTTCTGATACATTTTTCTGAAAAATTTGGAAAGATGTAAAACTTATACCTAGAGTTTGACTTTGCTTTATTAGTTCTAAACCTCATTTCCTCCTACCCCCTCCAAAATTTACAACTGTACAATTGTCAAGGAAAGTGAAACTTTTGAATTCTTATCAATGTTAAATAAATGTATAGGTTAGTGCAACAGGGGGACGGAGAAACAGTAATTTATTCTGAAACTTTTGGAGTTGTTAAATAATTTTGCTGGATAATATATATTACTGGCTTAGGATTGTGGACTGTTGAAA